CCCTTGTTTGTCAAGCCAAGAGAATAAGGACCAAAGAATGAAACTGACCTGTCCGGGGCTTCTTAGCAAGTTAGGAACAGGGCAGGGACAAGGACGCAGCTCTCTGCTCTGTCAGTCCCTGCACCACTCTGCTGTTCTCTCTTACTCTCAGGACTAATTGAGAACTAGCTGAACCTGAAGTTCATTAGGAGGCCATTTTCAAGCCAAGACTAGGCCTTTGCCTAAATTTCTTGCACCTAAGTGAAACAGCACCAGCACTGGATAATCAGTAAATCAAAAAGTCTTCATTAAGGATCTTCTCTGTGCCAGGCACTGTGCTGGGCACTGTCAATACAGAGACAATGAATAACACAACTCCCCTCCTTACAAGAAGCTTACTTTCTAACTAGGGAGACAAGTGCCTATATGAGTTTGTTCAGAATAAATTTAAAGAGAATAAAGACAAATACAAAGTCGCTAAATACAAGGTCGTTTGGGAGGTGAGGGGGAAGCTTCGTGTGATGCATGTATCTTGAAGGAAGAGATGGACTCTGAGAGGGTACCCAAGAGGGAATGCATTCTAGGCCCAGGGGACAGCCAGGCCAAAGACATGGAGACTGGAGTCGGTGTCATGTATGAGGAAAAAGGGCAGGTGGGCTTGATCGTAGAGTGTGGGGAAGGGAGTAATGTTCCATGAGGCTAAAAAGACAGTGGGGGCCAGAAGGCTAAGAGCTTTTGAAGGTAAACAGAGCAGTTTCTACTGAGACATTGGAGCTATTGGAATTCATTGAGTTGGGGAGTGGCATGATCAGATCTGCATTTAAGGAAAATTACCTGAGGAGCAATGTGGAGAGTAGGATGGACTGGCGTCTATAAGGAGAAGCCTTAAGTCTGGGAGACTATCAGATGTTGAGGAGGTAGAAGTAGCCAGATTAGACAACAGAGTATACAGGTGCCATGAGTGGGGAGTGAGGAGTTGAAGATAGCACCAGAATTTCAAAACCGGAAGACTAGAAAGATGGTGGGTGGTGCCTTTGATAGGAAATAGTGAAGCTTGGAACATCAGTGGGTTTGGAGCAAAGATATTGGGTGGTGGTACCTTCCTCCTTATATCAAAGATGATATGAGAATGCTCTGTTATCATTTCTAGAATAGGGGTAAGGCCAGGGAATAGATCTGTGATTTCATTGACACAAAGAACCCTTGCATAAGAAAACTCCCTTTGTACCAGAGCCCTGAGGTTAGGGTGACTTGCCCAGGGTCACAAAGTCAGTAAGTTTCAGAGGAAGGACCAGCACCCCAGACTTCCTAGCTCAGAGACCAGCCGTGTAGACTCTGCCTCTATTTTGAGACAGTCCTCTGGCATAAGGGAGCCCCTCCTGGCAGAACGTAGGTTTTCCCTATTGACCCTTGCTTTCTACAACTGAGTTCACAGTGCCCTACTTCCCCCATGTAAGTCAGGCTATCAATAGGTTAAGTCTTTGTCCGTGTACCCAATTTATGTAAGGCCCACGGGCCAGCCAGAGACTTTGGGAAAATAATCCCCTAATGAGTCCGTTGCTAAGATTAACATGTAAAACAATTGGAGTTAGTTCAGTGCAAAGCTTATTACAAGCAAAGGAGAAAGAGGAAAAGGGCCCTGACACACAGCTTCAGCATATACGCTAACATAGAGTATAACTCACATAAGGGCTGTCCTGCATTGGGGAACACAGAGACGAGCATCTATTCAACAGAAAGTGGGTGCTCCAGCAGGGAGATGTACTGCTGAAGGGAAAGGGATGCTCCAGTGGTCCTCTCAGAATGAGGTTCTTATGCTATGATTTTGGGCAGCCTCCCTGGAGCTGGCCAAATTGTGTGTCAGGGGTCAGAGCAGAATGTTATTTTGGGGGTTTGTTATCAAGGAGAAAAATAAGCTGGTGGTAGACAAAATGCTATTTTGGGGGTTTGCATATCAGTGAGAAAAACAGTCTGGTGGTAGACAATATTATTTGGGGAACACAGCTGTACCAATCTGTGAAAAGTATTATTGTCAGTATTTTTCCATGAGTATATTCTATAAATTATAGCCTCCCTTGAGGGGAGACTGTCACAGTGGCCTCAAAACCATCAGGTCAGATCTTATAACAATGGTTTCCATGCATAGATTCTATAAACTACAGTTTCCCTTAGGGGGAAGCTGTCATGGTGATCTCAAAAACACCAGGCCTAATCTTATTAAAGCCTCTCATATAAGATCCCATAAAATCCATAAAGATGGAGAAGTCATATCATTTTTTAAATACACCGTACCCAAAACTCCCAATGAGTGAGGCCCTAGACCACCCCCCAGGGCAAATAACACACGCAATTTTTCAAAGCCCTTTTTAATAAGATTATCTTTAATGATAATGATAGCTAATAAGCTAACTTTTATATGGTGCTTACTATGTGCCGGGAACTGTGCTAAGCACTTTACAAGTATCATTTGATCTTCACCACAACCCTACAAGGTAGTTGTTTTTATCCCCGTTTTACAGATGGAGAAACTGAGTCCAATAGAGGTTGTGACTTGCTTCAGGGTCACATAGTAAGCATCTATGGAGGCTGAATTTGAACTCAGGTCTTCCTGACTTTGGGCCAGTGCTCTATGTACTGCATCATCTACCTGCTGACCCTGAGTCTCAGTTGCCTTCCAAATCATTAAAAGAAGATGAAATTATTCTTAGTGGGGTTTTGGTGTTGCATGTCCTTTGTATTCTTGTTCTTTGAAAATGCAGGTTTGTGTTTGCTGACTCAAAATGTACTAGAAGGTGGAGTTTGTCAGATTACCTCATTCTCGATAAAGGGGAGTTATTTTTTGTTGTTGTTTAGTCGTGTTCTACTCTCTGTGACCCCATCAGGGTTTTCTTGGCAAAGATCCTGGAGTGGTTTGCCATTTCCTTCTTCAGCTTATTTTACAGATGAGGAAACTGAGGCAAACAGGGTGAAGTGACTTGCCCAGGGTCACACAGTTTGCAAGTATCTGAGGCCAGATTTGAACTCAGGAAGATGAGTCTTCCTGACTCCAGGCCCAGCTTTCTATCCGCTGTACAACATAGCTGCCTAGCCTTTTTTGTTATTCAGTCATGTCCAACTCTATGTGACCCCATGGATATTTGTCCATGGGGTTTTCTTGGCAAAGATACCATAGTGGTTTACTATTTTCTTCTCCAGTGTGTCCCCATTTTACAGATGAGAACTAAGGCAAATAGGGGTTAAGCGACCTGCCCAGGGTCACACAGCTAGTATGTGTCTGAGGCCAGATTTGAACGCAGACCATCTTGACTCTAGATCCAGTGCTCTATCCACTGTACCACTTTGCTGCCCCTAAAAAGGAGTCTGCTAAGTAACTATTGCATGAAAATAGCTTGTGCACATAAGACTTCAGCAAGGAAAGATGTATCTCTGCTCACACAATGCTTGATAGACTCTTAGGAGCATTCCTCCCAAGAAAGAAGGGAGTTTCTCAAAAAGGTTCAGGTGGGCAGTATTTGCTGAGTCTGGGACCGAAAATCACGCTAGACCACCCCCTATCCCAGTGGCTCGATGCATTCAGTGACCTCGGGGCCATCTGCCACAAGACAGGAAGCAGGGAGGCATATAACAGGCTCTTATTTGAATCTGAAGTGAAAAGACCAGAATTTACATTTCTGATCTGACATCAGCTGTGGGACTTTCCCCTCTCTAAGCCCCAGGTTCTTTGTAAAGTGAGTGAACTGGACTAGAGGTTCCTTCTAGTTCAAAGAAGTTGTGATTCTCGGGGCTCCTGAAGAAGTACACTTTGAATATACCTCCCTGGCTACCTTCCCAAGATAGGGGAGGATGTGATCAAGCCCCAGGAAAAAGCAGACATTCAAGGACCACATTCTACTGTCATGCTACCCTGGGAAGGTCTGCTCAGGCTCCTTATATGGGTAAGGACTCACAGTCATTTGTTCTAAGTCAACATAATTACTAAGGATCAGAGGATGCATGATTCAGAGCAGGGAGTTTAGAGACCATCTTCTCCAGGGGCTCTTAACATTTTTTTACATCACAGACCAGCTGGGCAATCTGGTAAGGCCTGTGGACTCCTTTTCCCAGAATAATGTTTTTAAATGCAAACAATAAAACACATAGGATTACAAAGGAAACCAGATATATTAAAATATATTAAATAAAATACAAGTTCACTGGCCCCACACTGAAAAACCCTAATCTGATGCACCACCACCCCCATTTTACAGATGAGGAAACAAAGGCCCAGAAGTTAAGTGGCTTGTCTAAGGGACATACAAATAGTAAGTGACAGACAGTCTTTAAACCTAGGACCTCTAACTTCAAATCCAGGACTTGGCTGTCTAAAAATACCACCAACCGTTTTGTTCTCTTCCTTAGATAAATACAGTGTTTAATTGACAGCCCTTAGTGGGTGGAAATGCTGGCTTTCTCCTGAATTGTGGCCACACCTATTTCCTTTTCACTCCTGTGCTTCAGCTGCATTGCCTTTCCTGCTGTGCTAACAGCTATCTGTGTGGAGAATAAATTCCAGGAAATCTGTGGCTGAGATTTTGAGTTAAAGTAAATGTTTCTTAGAAATGTAATTCATAGGAATTAACTAGCTTCCTCCTCAATAACCACTGCTCCACTCTCAAAATAAAATACTGGGAGGAAAATATCAGTCACCAAGAAAACCATAAACCTGTGAAACTAGACAAATGTAACATTTGTGGGATGGAAAGAACAATGGATTTTGTTTCAGAGGACCTGGGGCCTCTTTAGATGACCTAGGGCAAGTCATTTCAGGATCTCGCCTTCATCATCAAGTCAGGGGATTAGATTAGGAGATTTTCCAGATCCCTCTTAGGTCTAAATCTTCCCTTTCCCAGTATGGACTTCAAAACCTTTTTTTTTGGATCATCCTTAGCATTTGTAGCCAGCCTAAGCTCATTCTAAGACTTAGGGCCCCTGATGCTATTAAAAAGAAAAAAAAACAGAATCAGATCATGCTTTTGTATTCCTCCTTTATTACCTGCCCTTGTTTCCGTCAACTGAGAAGTGAGCTGACTTTCAGATGCACTTGTAGTCAAGGAAAGAATCTGAGAATGCTCCCCTGCCTTCCTTGACTCCTTTAGCCATATATTTGGCTTTCGGGAATCCAGCAGAACTGTTGTTAAAGAAGACATGATAAAATCCTGTGTCCATCAGGGTGAGAACCTTAGAATATAAGGTCTAATTCTTGAAGAAACTATTATTTTTCTTCTAATGAAATCATAGAATCCTAGTCAGAAGGGATATTAGAAGTCTAGGTACGCAAGAAAGAAGGAAAGAAAGAAGAAAAGAAGGAAGGAAGGAAGATTTATTGATGTTTATTCTATGTGCCAGGCACTGTTCTAAGCACTTTATAAATATTATCTTATTGCAAAATATATTCACTTTTGTGTGTATCAATTCCATTAATAGCTAGTTCCCATTTAACCAGGAGGTAGGAGAGAATATGTCCACCTTGTAGATGATCTGGCTTCTGTTTCCTCTTCATCTTTCCACCTCTTAGATGCTTTCAATTTTCCATCTCTCAGATATTTCTTAATTTCTTTGCATGGGCAAGAAAAGTGAAAATGACCATTCTGATAGGTGGGTTTTCTGCTTGTGCCTAAAATGGAGCAGTAGGATCATTTACAAATAATCCTAGACTCTTCATGCTGGAAGGGATCAGAGAGTGTGTCACAATTCTCTCTGTCACTCATACCCCCATTTTCTAAATGAGGAAATTGAGGCCGAGGGGAAGTGACTGGTGCAAGGTTACACAATGGTGGGGCTCTGGCTAGTAGTGGTCAGGACTCCTATCTTCCAGGCCAACAATCTTTCCGTAGCGTCACATACATTCTTCTCCTCCAACTCTTACAGCTAACACGGGGCTAATTCAGTTGAAGAGGCTGTTGTGGTAGTATTTTAAAATTCAGACCGATATAAAGACCACCAGCTAGTGACCAGGTTTGTCTCATTCCTGTACCTCTACCTTGGTCACAATTTCCTCATCTCCCCAACATATGCATGTGGACAAATACTTTGCTAGTTGTCACTTCAAATAAGCATTTGAATTTTGCTTTATTGAGCCCTTCAAGAAAATGAAATCAGGGATGACCCTAAAAGCTATTACATTGGAGACCCTGTGTAACATAGGGCCAGTCCATATTCATCATAAATAATGTCAATCCATTAAAAAGTTTTGTGATATTGTATTCCACATATAATGGTCTTGAGTCTTAAGAACACTCCAATAGTTCTAGCACTTTGCACATTCGTTAATCTACCTACCACCCCTGTCAGGTAGGTAAGCACTGAAACCTAGGCACAGAGAAATCGAATGCGTTCCCCAGGTCACACAGCCCTCGTCAGAGAGCCGGGATTTAAAAACTCGAATTCCTTGAAGTTTGACACCGCGGTGAGTAACCATGATTTATCACATCAGAAAAGTCATTCTTCCACCTGCCTGTTGTGAGGGCACAGAAGACCCCCACAAGCCTAGAATCTGCGTTGCCCCTACAGTGTAAAGCAGTGTAAATACCTAATGTCAGCTCTGAGTCGTGTGGAGAACAGATAAAGCCAAAATCACATATAAAGACACAAGAAAACATTACAAAAGAGAACACCACTTTCCAACAAGAAAATAATATGCATTTTAAAATATATCAAGGATTTAAAACTATTTACACGAGCCACTAGAATAGGTCCCAAGAAGCAATTACAATCAGATAAATTATAGGCTTCCTCTAATATACATGTACAGGACAGGCTTTTACCATTTGGGCCTACTATCATGCAGGGAGCATTTTTTAAAATTCTCTTCATTTAAAAAACAGTTTAGTTCTTTCCTAAGATACAATGCAGTCTATTAATACCTATACACATGAGAAAGTCCATGATGTTAGGTCCTAATGCCTTATAAGACAGCAGGAAGAAATTACTTAACGCTATTCAAATGGTAACTCAGACTGAAACTCAGACTTTTGAATGCCACTGTTGGGATCTGGTAAAATAAACCAGCCTAAACTCTAACGTGAAAGGTTCCTGTCTATCCGCCCAAGGAGTCAATGCCACAAAAATAAAGGAAGTGGTGCTACCCAGATGGGGTCTCAATGGCGGTTGTACCTATGTGTCTATCAGGAAACTCCCTGCTACTGACACAACCACCGTCTCATCAAAAGAACCTTCCATTCTAATTCTCCATCATAGCATGGGGGCGTCCTCTGGGCTCTGGAGTTCTCCCCTGTGCAGAGCCTTCCCACAGCCCATTGATGACCTCTCTCTTTGTTGTCTGAAGATGAGCTGAGCCAAGCATGGAGAGGGCCCATCACCGAATGGGGTGCCATGAAGCAGAGGAATTTTTAAGGCACAGAGGAGTCAGGATCTGCATGGAGGAGGTACCCCCACAGATGAACTGTCAATCTATAAAGAACAGCAATAATTAATCATAATAAATAGCTCACCTTGAAATAACACTTTATGGATTATAAAGTGCCTTACACACATTATCTAATTTGATCCTCACAACAGCCCTGTGAAGGAGGCAGGGCAGGGCAGTGATCATCATCATCCCCATTATCTATGTAAGGACAGAGCCAAGGTTCCAGTGCAGATATGCCAACATTCACCCCAATCCACCCCTGAAAAAATGTGCAAAACTGCAGTTTTTCTCTCATCAGCAGCCTGTGCCTTCAGCCTCCGGTGACTATCCTCAAAGGATTATTGGTGAGTTGCTGGTGGCACTTTCTGTCCTTTTTTATTATTATTTTTTAAACTGAAACAGCTTGGATACATGTTATTTGCTTTTGAAGGGTTTTTCCCTGCAGTCACTAGGGACTTCTCCACCGGAGAGAAATGAAGGGGGGAAAAACCACCAAACCCAGTACCTCCAGGCTGGAATTCCAGCCCTGCTTTCAGGATGATTCCACACAGAGATGGCAAGACGTGCATGGGTCCAAGGGCCAAAGCTGTCTCACGCTGTCTCACTCAGTTTCCATCATACTATTTAGCATTTTCTGGGCACTTCCTGCTGTGGGATGAGTGCTGTCTCTCTGTGCATGATCATTCAGCTTTGCGGCATGCCCCCCTCCACATTCCGTCATGGGAATTTGTGCTAAAAGGGGCTTCAGAGATCATCTAGTCCAATGCCTTCATGTTACAGATGAAAATCTGAGGCCCAGAGAAGGTGACTAACTTGCCCATGGTCGCACAGCCCAGCAAAGATTCAAACCCAGTGCTCTGACACCAGCTCTCGGGAGTGTTCTTCCAGCTTTACCATGTTGCTGTCTCCAAGGGGACACAGAGATCTAGAGACAAGAAACTAACCTGAGGGTTCCCATTACCCCAACATTGATCCTCTGACCACCATGTTACTAGCTGGAAAAATATTCAGCCCATGGTGTACCGCCACCACCACCTGCTTGTCTATGTCTGAGCGAGGTGTCTAGGAGGCACCTGGTCTGAGTGCAAGGTGCCACAGTTGGATCCGAAGGTGGCACACCCCAAAGAGGAGAAGACAGAGCCCTCCCAGAAGTGCCCGGAAGCCCCAACAAGGCAGCCCTGCGTTAGCTCTCGACAGGCTGGTCACTGATGGGCCCCTTTTTGCTTCTGCTCCAGTTCCTGTAGACGCTCCTCCCGGGTCTGCGCATGCTGGGCACCCACTTTGTGCGCTGTCTCGGTGGCAGTGATATCAATCTGGGCATACCGGGTGGCTCCAGCCCCTGAAAACAAAAGCTTTCATTAATTCCCAGAGCATGCCCTCCCAGGGGACATGTATGGCAGAGGCTCCGTCCATTGGGAGGTTCCCTAGTGAGATCTAGGCTACCATGTAACCATGATGCCTTTGGAGTATCTCCCCCTAAGAGGAGCCTTTGTCTCCTCTGGCTCAAGTGCCAACCAAGGTCTAATCGAGGCGCCAGAGAAAGCTTGAAATAATCCTGCTCCTTGTAAGATGACAGGCACAGGCTGGAAGCTCAAGGCCTTGGAGATGATCTGGTCCAGCATCTTCGCTCTGCACAGATGAAGACACGGTGGCTAAGGGTGAGGATGACTTAGCCAAGATCACACAGCATGTAAGGAACGGAGTTGGGATTCAAATCCAAGCATTCTGTATCCAAAGCTATTCCAAAGCCAGGTTTCGCTTCAAGCTAGGCAGTATACTTATTGGGCAGTTAGGTGGTGCAGTGGATAGAGTCCCAGGCCTGCAGTCAAGAACACTCAGCGTCCTGAGTTCAGATCTGGCCTCAGACCCTTACTAGCTGTGTGACCCTGGACAAGTCACTTCACCCTGTTTGCCTCAGTTTCCTCACCTGTAAAATGAGCTGGAGAAGGACATGGCAAACCAATCTGGTATTCTTGTCAAGAAAACCCCAAATGGGGTCATGACTGAAACGACCAAACAGCAACAACAAAAAGCATACTTGTTAGTGGCTTTGTATGAATGACTTTATGCTCAATTCACTTCCTGAGTGTTTGGATCTGAAACAGGAAGAATGCCAGACTCTGAAAACTGTGAAACACATGAACACACTGCCAAAGAAGGCTGCCCCTTCTCTATTTCTTCTGGAGACATAAGAAGGGAATAGAAAGTTATCTTTTAGGAATGACTTGAGTGCAGACCTTCCCAGAGGCAGGGGCATGGAACAGATGAGGACGAGAAGGAGGTGAGCCAGGCATCATCCATACAGTCCAACCCTTGCATTTTTCATTTGGGAAAACCAAGGCCCAGAGGGGAATGGTTTGCCCAAGGCCAGATGGCCAGCAAGTGGCAAAACTGTAGAGTGACTTTAAGTCCTATGCACTTTCTGCTCCTCTAGAGAACCTGATTTTTCACTTGAGGCATCTTGAAGGTGGGCGGTCTGGGGTAGTGGTGGGGCTGGCGTCATGGAAACAAATATCTAGGGTTGGCAACCATGTCCAGGTGGGACCTCTTCCCAAACGTGGTACAAGCCAAGTGTACTTGGAGATGACACAGAGAAGGGGCATCTCTCCCTACCTCTTATTCCGGGGCTAGGTTCCTGAAGCTCCAATTCCATGTAGTGAAGCTGCTTCTTGGAAGTGGGACTGACGGGAATATTCACATAGGTAGGGGTCTCGCTGCGTGGTCTTTCTCCTGTAACAGGTGGGTAAAGGAGAAGACAAGAAGTGGATGCATAAGTAAATGCAAACCATTATGCACAGAACATTTCAGAGAGAGAGAGTATTAACAAGTGTGGAATCAGGGAAAGCCTTTTCTAGGGGGCTGCATTTGGACTGAGCCTTGAAAAGGACTGTAGGCTCCCCAAGGTGGAGGGGAAAAGGAAAAACATACCAGTCGTTCAAAGGCATGCAAGGAGATAGGAGATACAAGGCTGAATATAGGAAACAGCGAGTAGAAATGGCCAGTTTGGCTGGGAGGGAGGAGTGTACAAGGGAGAAGGATGTGTAATCAGCCTGGAATGATAAGCTGGAGCAAATGGGGTAAGGATCATCAGGGCCAAACAAGGCATCCTGGAAGCGATAGGGAGCCGCTGATGCTTACTGAGCAGGGGAGGGATGTAATCAGACCTGTGTTCTAGGAATGTCCATCTAGCAGCTTTGTGGAAGATGGATTGCAGAGGTAAGGGGCTGGACACAAGGAGATCAATTAGGAGTCTACCAGTAGTTTGGGGAGAGGTGACAGGAGCCTGTGTTAGGATGGCAGCTGTGTGAATGGAGGGGAGAAGTATGTGAGAGATGCTGAGGCTGGAGAGTCACCACATCTGACAAGTAACCGGGTGAGGGAGGGGAGGGAGTGAGGGAAGAGTCAAAAATGATTCCTAAGTTTTGAACTTAGGGGACTGCAAGGATGCTGGCACACTCAATAGAAGTGAGAAACTTAGGGGGATGGGGGACTTAGGGGGAAAGAAAACACATTCTGTTTTGGACGTGTTGAGTTGGACATGCCCGTGGGACTGTGACAATGGCCTCTTATTAGTGTCCCTCCTTCCAGCCTCTCTCATCTCCAACCCATCCTCCCCACAGCTGCCAAAATAATCTTCCTCAAGTGCAGGTCTGTGCTTGAATCTTCTGTGGCTCTGAGGATAAAATATAAACTCTTCAATTTGGCCTTTAAAGCCCTGTGAAATCTGACTTCAACCTGCTTTCCCAGGCTTATTTTCAGATTCCTCTCCCTCCATCCACTCCCATTCAGCCAAACTGACCTTCTGCCTATCCCCAGGACTCATCACTCCATCTTTCACCTCTGCATCTTTGCCCAGGCTGCCCACATGCCTGAAATCCATTCCCCCACTTCGCTGTGCCTCTTACCACCTTTTGCTTCCTTGAAGGCTCAGGTCATGGTCTAACTTCTACCGGAACCTGTCCTGATTCTGTTGTTAAATAATGTTGTTTCCTCAAATTATCTTGTATTTGCTTATTTGGGTATCTATTGTATCTTATTCTCCTCTCCCTCTGACCCCTGTAATGTATAAGTGCCTTGAATCTATCAATAAACATTTATTAAGCACCTATTATGTGCCAGGCACTGTATTAAGCACTTTACAAATATTATCTCATTGGATCTTCACAACAACCCTGGGAAGTAGATGTTTTTGGCAAACAGAGCTAAGTGACTAGCCCAGGGTCACAAAACTAGTAAATGTCTGAGGCGAGATTTGAATTCAAGTCTTCCTGGCTCTAGGCCCAGCACTCTATCTACTGCACTGCTTAGCTTTTAAAAAGAAAAATATTACCCAGAGAATAATTCACCAATTTCTAGGTTGTGCCTTTAAGTAGCTTGAAAGATTTTTTAAAAGGTCCCTAAGAGCAAAGAATACACTCATCATTACAAACATTTTTGTTAATTCTGCATGTTTGGATAGAATTATCAACCAGTCTATTTGGCCATCACATTCTTCCTAAAACCTCTGTGTCAATTAGTTTGAAGGAAAACCCATCTCGCGTCTTAGGATTTGCAATTTATAGAGCACTTTTTGTCCCAAGACCACGAAGCTTTGTCATATACATCATCCCATTCACGATGATTCTGCCAGAACGAAAGTGCTGCTTTTAAACACTGTTCTGTATTGGGCATCGGGTCCTCTCAGCAGCCATTATAAACGGAGAGGATGGATTGTGAGCCTCATGGATCGTGACAGTTCACACAGTCCCTACGCAAAAGAACCTCTGGACTCCATGACGGATGTGCGTGTATGTATATACACACATACATATGCATACATAAACACATATATACATACACACACATGTCCCAGTGATCTTTCTCCTAGACTGGGAGGCAACAGCAGGGTGGAGCAGAAAGACCCCTGAAATCTTGGGTACAACATTCCCAGTCCGAACCACCCTCAGATTCCTACATCTGCAGTATTTTCACCAGCCTGCCCAACTACTGATGCTCTTAATAATGACTCTGACACTCTGCTGATGCTTCCTGAATTGTCAAAGAAAGATTGAAGTCTTTATGATAAAATTTTGTCGTTGAATGTATTTTACTGCATGTGAAAATCAATCATCTATGCTGACGTGTTTGGTAATTCGCTATTATTGGGAGGCAGAGAAATGTAGGGCTTTATGTAAAATAATAATGATGATGATGATAATAAGATCCCATTTAGCTCTTCCATTCTAGGTCCCATGACCTTCTAGCATTAACATTTTGTGTTCTATAGTTCTTTCCACCACAGGATATTTTATGTTTTGTGTTCCAAGGTCCCTTGGGCTCTGTGGCTTTTATGGGCTCTGATATTTTATGAATTTAGGCAGAAAAATGATTCAGTTACTAGAACACCTCATAGGAATTTACTTTATTGCTTATTTTCTTCTCTCAGTCTAAGACAAAGCATTTAAAAAAAAACCAAAACATTGATCACAAAGCAAGAGGAGCCTGCAGCAGACAAAGAACCAGCCCCTGTCAAATGTCTGTCAATTAAGTTCTGTCTCCAGACCCTTGGCTTGTTGACAACATCGCTGTTCCTTAATTACAGCAGGTTTTCCATAGATCTAGGTCATTCTCTGCCCTTATTTCTTTAGCTCTGATATTCAGGTCCACAGCTCGATTCATCTGTGTGCCCCCAAGACAGGAGGGCAATACCAGGGATGAGACAGCACTCCCAATAATAGAAAGGAACAAAAATGCTAACTCTGGACAGCATTCCACACCCATGGCTTTCCCTGGTCCCATGTTGGGAAAGGATCTCATTACCTAGCATCTCTTTTCTTTCTCCGACGTCCAGCCAAGTGTCTGATATGCTGTACAGACCTCCAGCTGGAATCAAAGTCAGACTCTTCCCACATCAAAGTCAATCAAAGCTCCATCACTGAAGTTCAGCTATCCCCAAGAGTCTACTGTCTGCTCCCTGTGACTCTTCTCCCCCCACCCCAGATAAATATCCCCAGTGGATATTACCTCTCACCTCCACCTCACTTTGTCTGTAGGAATAGGAGTTTTCACTTTGCTTGGATAGAGAGGTGTGGGGATGGGACAGTCTCTAGAATTGGAGCCAGGCTCAAAGTCCAGCCCCACTACCAATCATGCTACAAATGAGACTTGTCACTTTGCCTTGTCACTTAGCAACAAGTTTTAGGGTTGATATAGATAAGAGAGAAGAATAACATTTTAGGAACCAGGACCCCAAACTATCTTCTAATTCTTGGGGCTGATTGAGCTCAATCCAATACAACAAATGTTTCCCAAGGATATTCCTTGTGAAAGGACCAGGAGATAACAGTTGTGTCCCGTAGGTGGGGACACCAATTCTGTCCTTCATTCTCAAAGAGGACCATGACATCAGGGAGGTGATGCCATGACATGCTGGTGAATTGGATTTAAGTGAAGGAGGGCTGGGCAAAGTCTCTCTCTCTCGTACAGAGCCATCTGAGTTCAGTGGCGAGATATAGATCAGGATGACTGGAGATGGCCCCAGATGTGCCGGGGCAAGGAATAGAAAGATGAAAATGAGAGCTCCTCCTCTTAGGAAACTTACATAGTCTACCTCTAAGATTCTTGCTCTCTGAGCTCCAGCCAGAGTGGTCAACTCGCACCTCACTCATGTCTTTGTTCACTCTCTTCCCTGGACCTGAAATGATCTCCTTGTCTTACCTTCTCTGTTTGAATACTTTTTTCATTCCTACACTCAAATTTCATTCCTTCAACTCAAATGCAGCCACCCCCGGGAAGCCTTCCCTGATCCCCTATATTCAGAAAGATCTTCCTCTTCAGGCCTCACAGAGCACTCTTTATTTCGCACCTCTCTAAAGTACTTAGTTCAGTTGTTTGTATGTTTTTCAAGTTTTCTGACTCTTAACATGACTCTATTTGGGGTTTTCTCGGCAAAAATATTGGAATGGTTTCCTTCTCTAGCTCATTTTACAGATGAGGAAACAGAGGTAAACAGGGTTAAATGACTTGCCCAGGATCACACAGCTAGTAAGTATCTGAGACTGGAGTTGTACTCTTCCTGAGTCCAGACCCAGCACTCTATCCACTGCACCACCTAGCCACCCGTTGTACTTAGCATAGCATCACATATTGCTATTTGTTTGAATCTTATCCCCTTACTCAGCTGTAAGATCCATTGAGGGTGCCTAAACTTCACATCTCTTTAGACACCAAACACAGGGCTTTGAAGACCAGCTGAGTGGATGACCTAGTCTCTGCCTTCCCCCAGAAGCTCCTCACCCAAGCAAAACTGGTTTACAAAGCAATGAACAGGGCAACTTGTTCAACATTGAGTGAAATTTTTGAGCCTGAGGTTATGGTAGGTTTGGGACTGAGAAAGAGGAAAACTATTTTGGGATTCTCATTTTGATTTCAGCAACTTGATATATCTCTGAACTAGGACTAGAGTTAAAGCTTACAAGAAATATGATCTCCATCCTCTATCAAATGGCTAGAGCCCTGAGAGCCTGGCCCGCACAACTTAGCACTTAATGACATGGTGTTTTATCTCCCTGAAGAGAGGATGAAACTGCTTTGTAATGCAAAATCATTGTACAGATCTAAGTGGTAGAAAGGGAGCAGGATGGAAGTCAGAAGACCCAAGCTGAAGTTCTGGCTTGGCTGCTTGCTAACCCGTGTGACCTTGGGCAAGTCTTTTTCATTTCTCTTGGCCTCAGTTATTTATTCATCTGTAA